CGTCTATCTGAGGCACAGTGGTCTCCCTCGGACATAGGCTCTCCCTTATAATGACCGCTACCCCACCGCCCCTACCCCGGGCCCTCGGTTGATGGAATGCCTGGAAACCCGGCGGGCATAAATCAACAAGGGGAACTCCCCCTTCCATGCCCAGCCAGGTCTCGGTGATACCTGCCAGGTCCGCTCCCCCCTCTTGAATAAGCTCTTGAATGAGGGGGGCCTTATTTACCACGGACCTGGCATTGCATAACATCAGCCGATGATCCCGGGCCCGAGGATCTAAAGTCCCTGGAAGCCGAGTAGAGCCCTGAGGATCGGAGCACCCACAAGCTTGTAAGCAGCGTGTGCGTGCTCCCAAAACCCGATATGGTCCTTTGCTCCCGCCATATCTGCCCCTCCCACTGACCATACTAATCACACCACCCTCTCTTAACCCCCCAGTCTCCTCCCTCACCGTTCCGCGCCCCTCAGACAGGACTGGCCTTGGCCTCAGAGAGGGCTCCCCCAAGTCCCCCCGGGCCAACCCCGAACCCCCTAAAAATTTGATAAAACACCCCTCTAAGAAGACTCTCAATTTTTTTCTCCTTAATTCCCCTCTTGCTGTATACCACCTCTCGGGGTTCCACACCCCTTCATTGAGGCAGGCCCTTGGGATGGTATTGGGCCATGCCTGCGCGATGGGGGAATCGCGCAGGGCCAGCAGTTCCTTCCTGGAATACAGTCCGGTCCACAACAGGAAGTCCAGCAGCAGAGAAGGGGGGGGGGGAAAGTCCTCATGATGGATTAATCTTGGTCAGGGGCCTGAGATGGATGAAGAAAAAGTAGCAGCAGCAGTTTGTTGTTCTTGTTGTCCCCCATGGGGGGGGGAATGGCAAAGTCAGCCGGGCCCCAACCACACGAACCTCCAGGTCCACGCTGGGCCCCCGCCACCTCCACAGAGGCCGGCCGCAGGATCTTCCGCTGGAGGGCCTCAGACCAAAATCAGCCCTCGGCCTCCCCCGGCCCTCAGCCTCCACGAGGCGCGGGCACAGGCATCCGTGCTCGTCGGGCACTCACCGGCTCCCGCCGAGCCCGGGCACACTCCACCGGGCCCCGATCCTCCGCCAGGCCGAGCCCTTCGGGGCAGATCCCCCGTCGGCGCCTCTCGGATCTTCCGCTAGGCCGCGTCCCTCGGGCCGGATCCTCCTTTGGGCCGCGGCCTCCGCCTGGGCCACTAGGCCGGGCCGCCGGGCCGCGTCCTTCGCCCTTCGCCTG